ATGGAAGACATTATTACCACCAGTCAGTCAGTCAGTGAAATCACGGGAGGATAATAAATAATCTTGAATTGTATTCTATTTCAATTCAATTCACTTACATCATCACAACATTCTAACAAGTTACTCACTTATTGTGACTATAAAAGAAACACTCGTCTTATTTCCCATCTGATTATTGTAACTGATCACTCATAACACTCATATTATTATTATTTCTAAATGAACATTATCCTATATTACTGATAGACCTTAATTTACAAAAGCTAGACAGCACAAATTAACTCCCCAGTCGGTGGACTGTTTAACATTACACATTGCTTAGCCAGCAGTAAGTCCAGTAAAGAAGGAAGATTCAGTGTTAGACTGGTAATCTCATAGCTATTAAAATTTTAAGACTCAAGTCTGAAGCTCTATGCTTCACTGGGAAAGCAAAGCAATAAAACACGCAGTCCAGCGAAGAGTCTCTTTTCACTGGTGAACTCATTTTCTTAGCTGTAAAATCGCAAATATATATATATATATATATATGTTATTTTGTATGCATATGTGTACATTAAGTTTAACAAAGAAAAATAAACAACTGGTTATAGTTATTCTAACTAAACAGGTGAAGATTGGTAATACAAGTCTAGAAAATTGGGTGTTAATGAAATTAGGGTAGTAACAAAATTGTTGATGAGTTTTCACAAACAGCTGTCAAAAAGAAGTTATGCAATAATGCGAATAGTTTGATGAATGAGTCTTACTCAGGATACACATAGGAACAAAGTAGAGAATACGAAATTATGTAAGAGTTCTAAATGGATATACAAGAATTATAAGCAATTAAAGAACAGGCAAACAAACAAAATTAGGTCATCGAAATCAACAAAGTTGTTACCATGACAGCGGAAGTGGTTGAGTAATTCTCTTTTGTATGCACAGCTCCGGTTTTTCTATGTGAATGGCCAGAGCTTCGGTGATACAGAGAAGACGAAACCGTATTTATTGCCTTTGGTAGGTTATTCTTGACTCTGTAGATGACGTTGAAGCAGGAGGCGTTTGTTGAGATGGAATGATCAGTGTTAACGAAGTGTTCCATTTTCACACTCCTTATTGCACCACCACTATTGCCTTTTCACATCCATGCTGGCTGGATAGTGTTCTTAAATCATCTTGGACAGGGTGAGCGTCGAACGACCGATGTACCTGGCTGGCTCCACAGTGGCAGGTGAACTGATATATGCACATAGAAGTGGTCAGATGCGGGATCTTGTCCTTGAGGCTTCTGCAGATCAGTGGGCGACTGGAGAACACTATTCTTAGAATTTCTGCAAAGAATGTTCTTCTCAGAGATGATGTGATCTTTCTCTTAAGAATATCGCTTGCCTTATCTCCCTTAAAATTCAAGTTCATGTAGAGTTTGTTTTTAGGCGCGCAAATAAAGTTTTATTTCTCCAAATTCTTGGTTTGATATTTTTGTCAATGAATCTTATTGGCTATCCATTTTAGAGGAAGATTTCTCTCAGAAAGTCTAATTCTGTTTCCAGAACCTTGGGACTACAGATGCGTCGTGGGATGCAGGTGGCAAGTGATTTAATTAAATTCCGCTTTTCTTGAATGAGTACCTAGCTCTAGAGGCTTGTTAGTTGACCATTCCACATAGCTTTTCTATGCATCGATCTTTCTAGGCTCCCATCAATTCTTCTTGTTAGTTCTGCATCAAGAAACATCTCACAACTAGTTTGAATAGTTTAAATGAGTGTGTGTGTGTTATTGAGTAATTAGCAGTTGAATATAAGCTTTAATCCCCATCATTTTCTACTTACTCTATGAATTCACTGAACACATATGTATGTATCTCACAAAAATGTCCCTCTTTATGCGTATTTATTTCATAATAATAATAATAATAGTAATAATTAATAATGACTCTTGGTTTTGAATAATGCAAAAATCATTAAGTGAAAGAAAACAAAACAGAAAAACAGGAAGTTAGAGAACATATTAACTGGGATAAGTATGCATGAAATGCATGAACCAAAGATAATGCAGGTTATTAGTTTAATAATAATAATAATAATATACACAAGTGCATTATAATATAGCTATGCTTCATTATAACAACAATGCATTATAAAGGCAAGTCAGGAATAAATAATTTTTCAGAGAAAGGGAGGGATGGAGAGGTACAAAAACGCCATACGATTGCTTTACCAGCTTTGTGATATAATGGACAGGTGGAAATGAAACACAAATAATTTAATAAGAATTATACAATTTATATATATATAAATACATATATACTGTTCATGCTTAAAGTTGAATCTTCTGGATGCGAACATGAACGGGAATCAGTAATTAGCAAGAGATGTACATCAGCTTCTAAGCACACACACACACACATACACCCACCTAATCTTTTCAAAATGCAGAACTATACAATGTGAATTTAATTCCAGTAGCTGGTCTGTTTGTCTGCCTGTATTTTGGACATAGAACCACTTTGCACCGATGTGCAACAGTTCACGTCCCCTCACACTCCCTCCTTGTAGCACACAAAGCAAGAGAAGAAAAGTAGAAGAAATGCATCATAGAGAGAGAGACACTAAACAGAGCTGTGAGACCAAGGAATAGTAATCACGAAGATCAATATAGTTTCATTGGAAATCATAAGTCACAAAGAGTGGATGCATCTGCGCTAGCCAACCATTGAGAACGATTTCGAGGCATATCACCAATTGTTTCCAACCTTCATTGGTTTTTACCGTCCTGAGGAGCTCAACGAGTCAGTCCTACGTGGCTTAAACTAACTACTGTAGATTTCATTGACTGGTGAAATCATATTTCGGTTTTATAATAACAATGCTTTACAAAAACAAGTCAAGAATAAGAAATTGAGATTTGTTGGTATGCGGTAAATGACCCTGAAAGCATGGTTATATATAGAAAACCTATATCAAATGCTCAGTATACTCATTTTCTCAGTTTCGTCCCCTTGAAATACAAATGCAATTTGATAAAGTGGTTGGTCCACCACAGAGCCAGCGCAATCTGCTCGGATGAATGTCTTGATGAGGAACTTAATAATATTGAACAGTTTCTGAGTGAAAATGGTTATCCAGAAAAGTTTATTGATAAGAATATGAATCTGAAATCAAAGCAGCCCAAGGTACCGACAGTTGCTTAAAAAGAAGGCCTTATTATTACAAATGCAGTTCCTATGGGACAACATCAGCGAGATACTAACACAGAGCCTTAGAAATGAGGTGGTAAAAAGAGCACTCCCTGCTGCTTCCGAGTTATGCTGTGTCTTGAGAACCACTCCTTGCTTGCGTTCGTTCGGTGGTAAAAGACAAACTGCCAAATTTCGCCTCCTCTTCCATGTGTGTGTATCTACTAATTGAACTGCTCCTGTGGAGTCAGCCAATTAGTCACATAGGCCGTACAATTAGGCGTATTTCTCGTCGAATTTCCCAAAATCACCCTGCACAGTGGTTGGCTAAGCAAAGGACAAACGGAAAATCTATTCACACAGTGCTATTCTATCTCACTCATCTTGTGGATACATAACACAAGACTGATTGATCTTGATCAGGCGGTTTTCAGGGTCATTTACGGCATACCAACAAATCACAATTTCGCCTAAATATTGGGTGAGGCTGGCCGTGTATGGATCTACCTGCCGCTGCTTCTGAAACACATGCGTAGACTCCGATCACGCTCTGGTTCGCGCACTAAACGTGCGACTAAATGGACATAAGAAATTGACGGCAACGAAACAGTTACGTCCCCAACTAGATCGAGACACTGAGTCCCTATTTAAAGAAGAAAAAGCGAAACGAATGTCTGAGGTCAACAGCAGGACTGCCCCTGAGGTAGCCTAGCACAACATACAGTTAGCTGTAGACACAGCTGTAAAAGCTGTTAATAAACTAAAACCTAAATTTAGTAAAAGCCATTGGATCTCCATCACCTCATCCAAACTGATTGACGCAAGAAGACTGATTCCGGCTAGCTCCGATTATGATTAGGAGTGAAAGCTACTCAAACGAAAACCAACAAGAAGTCTTCGCAACGACCATGAACAGTAGTGGGTGACAAAAGCGAAAGAGATTGAAAAGGTATCGGCGATTGGTAACACCAGACAACTATTTTGGCTTATCAAGGCAATTGATAAGTGAAACAATGTCTGAGAAAAGCGGAACCATAATTAGCTCCCAGGATAAACGACTGGAACGCTGGAAAGAGCACTGTGAGGAGCAGTTTAACTGACCTGCCTAACCTGGGGTCCTCAGGATGGTGAAAACCAGTGGTAGGAAACAATTGGTGATATGGCTCAAAATTGTTGTCACTGTGGCTGACTGGCGCAGATACATCCACTCCTTGTGACTTATGATTTCCAATGAAACCATATCGTTCTTCGTGATTACTATTCCTTTGTCTCACACCTTTGTTTACTGTCTCTCTCTCTCTATTATGCATTTCTTCTACTTTTCTTCTCTTGCTTTGTGTGCTACAAGGAGGGAGTGTGAGGGGACTTGAACTGTTGCACATCGGTTCAAAGTGGTTCTATGTCGAAAACAGACAGGCAGACAGTATGGATCCATATTAACAAGCGTAATTTGTGTATCTGAAAGAAGTTAGTTCAGACATTATCCTCACCTCGTTGGCCATCTAGGTTTGAATGATCCTGAATGTTTGTGGAATTTTCCTAATTTTGGAAGATATTCTATTTGCTAGTATATCTTCATTATTAATATTATTTAGGCATCATTAATGAACTGTGGTAATTCCATTGTGATCCTACTTTACAAATCGATATTAATATTTGGAAAGCACACTAATATTGTTATTGACTGCTAATCTAGAATATTCTATGTATATAAACATGCAGCAATATGCAATTGTAGAGCGAGAAGAGGAGGAGGAATTTATCGAAAAGGGGATATTCTTTACTTGGTCAATTATTTTATGTTTTATAGATGTCTGAATGAAAAAAAAACAAAAGTTTCACTCACTGATATACGTTTACTTCTTGTCCATGATCTTCCACCAGATGGTTTCTTATCCATTTCGTCAATATTTGTACAAATCTCCGTGTCACTTACACCTTGATCGATTGACAAATTAGTCAGCTGACTGCAGTTCGACTGAATATACTTTTGAATAAATTTTTGGCGATCAGTTTGTTTATCTTTGGAAGGTGTGTTCATTTAAAGGTGAAACAATACAATCTCTTCTCCACTCCGTCCTGTTTATGCTCTCAATTGTTTAGGAAGTCAAATTTTTCCGTCTTTTATAGGCTAAATGAACAAACAAATAGAAATCTCATTTTTTTTAAAGTGCTCAACAGTTAAGAAACGTCAGATTTTATTTTAAGTATTAGTTTGTAGAAATTTGGTTGATTGGTTATAGGATTTCATCATGAGCTGATGCTGATTAGAAAACCAGTGGCTTAATGGTCTATGAGGCCAGCTAGCTCGCCTTGCAACTGAAAGGTCCTAGGTTCGAACCTCGGTGGGTACGTACTGATGAAGAATCCCAAACACTAGGAGGAAAACTGCTGGCTGTCCAGTACTTTCGGGTTCGCCAATCGTTCTCTAACCAATGTCAGCTAGTGATGAAATCCTGTAACCAATCAGATTTTAATTTTAGTCTAAAAGGCAAAACTATTCCAATATATCTCAAAACAAAAACAAAAAAATAAAGCAGTTACTCAGAGTCCCATCGACAATTATACATCTCATCCAACAGTTGTACGACAATGCTGCCTGTATGGCAAGTAATCCACAACGGGAAACTTACGGAAGCCTTCGAAGTGAGGACGGGAGTGAGGCAAGGCTGTCTACTATCACCAATGATCTTCCTGATTGCAGTAGATTGGATAATGCGACAGACAACGGCAACCAACGAGGGAACAGGCATAAAATGGACTGACACAAAAGACTTGGAGGATCTGGACTTCGCCGATGTGGTGTATATATCTGATTTCCCACAAACTAGAAGATATGCAAGTGAAAAGCAACAAGTTGACAGAAGAAGCATCAAAGATAGGACTTCAAGTGAACATAGATAAAACAGAGGTGATGAAGATTCCTAACCAACATCAACAGCAACAACAACAACAGACAACAATCAGCATAAGTGAGAAGAACCTGAAAGAAACAACCTCCTTTACCTACCTGGGAGGCATCGATCGTTTCAACTACAGGCGGAACTGACGAGGATATCAAAGCCAGAATCGGAAAAGCAAGACAAGCTTTTATTACTCTCCAGTCTGTGTGGAGGTCAACAGCACTCAGCATCAAAAAAACATCCGGATTTTCAACTCAAATGTAAAGTCAGTGCTACTATACGGATGGATCAGAGACTTGCACTGCGCGTCATAAAGAGCATCTCAAACAAACTTCAGACCTTCATTAACAGCTGCCTTCGCTCAGAACTCAAGATCAGATGGCCAGAAAAGATCAGCAACAGGGATCTCTGGGAGCGAACCAATCAGGAACCGATTGTGAAACAAATAGGCAGGAAGAAATGGAGATGGGTTGGCCATACTCTGAGGAAACCATCAAGTGACATCACTAGACAAGCCATTGCTCGAGTGGAACCCGAAAGGAAAGCGGGTGGCGAGTTGATCGTCAGTGCAAGGGTGACTTGGAGGAGGTCATGTGAGGAGGAGGAGATGAAAGCATGTGGGCAGACCTGGAGCAGGGTGAAAAAGTTGTCAGAAAACCGAAGGCAATGGAGGTGCGCAGCTGAAGCCCTACGTTCCTCTAGGAACTAAAGGATACAATAATAAATAATAATACTCAGAAAATAATTCCCATGTATCAAATCACCGAAAATACCCATTGTGATTGAGTCATGAAGGAAATAAAAAGGACAAATTCATCAGCGAAGAAAATGCTTCTTTCTTTATCGACGTAATCATCTTCACAGGCTGGCTGTATGGTCGTATTTACATTTACCAAAAAAAAATGTAAAGAAGTCTATTATTAAGTAATAGGGGGTGACAGAAGTGGCTTTAGAAGTGAAAATTAAAAGTAGTAAATTACGTGGTACTCAACGACACAAAGACAGAAGTTTGATAAGGCTTAAATTGCTTAAAGTGAGTGAGAGAGAGTATAAACCTGGTAGTTGAGTGTCAATTTAACAAGTATGAAGAAGGTGTGAGAATGTACAACATGGATTATATGAGAGTGAAATAATAGTGAATTAATTGATAAAGCAAAAGCAAACTAAAAGAAAAATTAAAAAAGAAGAAAATCAAAGCTTTTTTTTACAGGGAACGACTACTGTGAAGGATAAACTGCCGCTTTAGGCCACCCGTGATGTGTGTCTATAAATCCACCTGCTCATGTAGAGCTAGTTATCTTGACCGAACACTATCAAAACGCATCTCTGAACATTATCCGGGATGGTTGCCATAAGAACAATGCAAGACAATTACTAGCTCGATTCTCGAGCACTTGGTGAATTCAGTCCTCCACGTAGCTTCACCAAAGTCGTCTTTCAAGATCATCTACAAGGTGAGGCCAAATGGTATAAAGGGCGTCAGACTTCGGCTTTTGCGTATGGAGGAGGCGATGACAATTCGTCAATACAACCCTGAACTCTGTATACAGAAAACCTTTGTCCAGTCTCTTATTCTACCTTGGTCTTAACCTCTTCACTAATCGTTCCCTGTAAAACATTTGGATTTTTATTTTGTTTTTAATTTTTTTTATTTTAGTTTGCTTTTGCTTCAATAATTAATTCACTATTATATCACTCTCATATTCTCACTGTTGTACACCTGTTCACACCCTCTTCACACTTGTTAAATTAACACTTAACTACCACATTTATGTTCACTAAATAACAATTTTAACCTTCTTTATCAAATTTCTATCTTTGTTCCGTTGAGTACCACGTAGTTTACAACTTTTAATTTTCACCTCTAAAGCCACTTCTGAGTAATTCTATCAATTATGCCATCCCACCCCTATTACTCAATAATAGACCACTATATATATATTTTTCGGTAAGTATAAATACGACAGTACAGTCAGACTGTGAAGATGATTTCGTCGATAAAGAAGAATTTTCGTTGCTGAATTCGTCTTTTATTTCCTATGTATCAAACTATGAACGCATTGGTAGTTCAATAGCAGAATGCTTGTCCGAGATCGATTCCCTGCCGATCCACTAGTAATCTCCGTGGGATAGTAAACGGGGAAAAGAAGGAAAGTTTGGCGTGAGTCTAGCAACCCCATCCAACACCACTGCTACTACTAAAACTTCAAAGCATGTGGTGTTATGCGTTCCACTGAAAACTTGAGGAACTAATCACAGACAACAACAAAAAAAAGTAGATTATGAGTCATGACTGCATTGTAAAAGGGCCGATAGTAGTACTTAGTTTCTCAGATTAAGGTAGCTGGGGCGTGTTTCGAAGCAACCCAAGAACTACTACCGACGAAATCCAAGTATCACACTGCGTTATTGTCTGTCTTTTTTCGACATAGAACCACTTTGAACCGATGTGCAACAGTTCAAGTCCCCTCACACTCCCTCCTTGTAGCACACAAAGCAAGAGAAGAAAGTAGAAGAAATGCATGATACAGAGAGAGAGAGAGACACTAAACAGAGGTGTGAGACAAAGGAATAGTAATCACGAAGAACGATATGGTTTCATTGGAAATCATAAGTCACAAGGAGTGGATGTATCTGCGCCAGTCAGCCACAGTGACAACAATTTTGAGCCATATCATCAATTGTTTCCAACCACTGGTTTCTACCTTCCCGAGGACCCTAACCAGGAAGTCTACATCTTCCTACGTGGCTTAAACTGACTGTTGTGGATTTCATTGACTAATGTTTCGGTTTGACCACTACCGGCTAGCTCTTTTCCAGCCTGACCAATCCTATGTCAGCCGGCTAACATTGCCCATTGTCGAGGAAGGCGATGACTAGGCATACGTAACACATGTCCTAGCCATCTTACTCAGTTGATGTAACTGCTTCACAACCTCGTCGATTGATTTCCCCTCCTTACCTAGAACTCGACTAACGCCTAACCTCAATATTGCTCACCTTATTATACCACCAACCAACACGGGAGATAGAACACAGGCACCTATGATCGAAGACAGCTAATCTTTTCATGTCTTCCACCCTCAGTGGCCAGGTCTCACTCACGGTCATAAAGGAGGACGAAGAGGACTGATAAGCAGTACACCCACCCTTTGGTCGATAGACAGCCAGGCGGATATCACGTCTACTAAGCCAGAGACGATGTAAACTGGCATATGCGAAACTAGAAGCCCTCTGTATCCGTAGTGAGACATCGTCAGAGACTAACCCGTTGGCACTAGCCGATGGTACTTCCCAAATAAGCGAAGCAGTCGACGCGCTCCACCAACCACTTCACTCCTTATTTCTAAACTAGGCGTCAGTGTAGTCCAGTCAGTTTTGTAGCATCGTCATCTTACATTTGACAGCAGGAGTGAATCGCTCGCATGCCAAACATTCGTAGATTGTAGAAATTGTGGAAATTAAAGAACTGACATTTTTGTGTATAACATATTTGAATGGGGTACCAAGATCCTCACTGGTACAGATAATACACTATCACAGGGTTTAGTGAAACGAATTCCTTGTAAACTGGTTTACTGTGTTCCAGTTTCGTACGCATGACCTTATATATGACGGATCACAGGAATACAATGGAATGTGACCTATACACCTGAGTCTAAAGGTTAATTATTTTGCTAAAGTAAAAGAATACTATAGCTTGTTATGTGCTACTAGTTTATCAATACAGATTTAGAAATAATATGAACACTTCTAGACTTTGCTATAGTAATTAATGACGAATAATAAGATAGACCAGAGGTCTAAAAATGACGAACTTGAAGATTACAACGATGACAGTTCAGAGATTTATTAATGTTCAGTACACAGAAACATAGACACTCAAGTATTAGGAAGCAAGGATGACATGAAAAGTCGATTAACAGATGTGTTTACTATTCTGAAGGATACCAAAAACAATATTTTTTGAGATTTGGCTAGCATTTCTGAAGAATATCAACTGTAAGCTGCGATTCTATACCTTTCTCTTTGAAGCGTTAGAAAATAAGTAATTAGAAAGCTTATATTAGACGTCTATCGAAAACAGACAGACGGACAGACAGACTTAATAACTACCCTGATAAATTAGTCAGAAAGCATGTAGGGAAATGTAAAAATTAAATAATGATAGTAGTAATAATAATATTAATGACGACATGCAAGTCAACTCTGCGCAAGAGAACACCAACAATAAGGAATCTAAATCACCAGTAGTAATTCCATACAAGGAAGGAACCTCGGAAACCACCTTACTCATAATTCTTAAGAAGCCAGGCAGAAATAAAAGTGGCTGGAATTCAACCCCTCCCAAAAAACTCAATCACAAACAAGCTTTGTTGGTTAGAGGAGCCTTTGTCCTGTGGACCATTCAAAAGAAAACAATTTAGTTCATCTAATACCCTGCCTGTAATGATTGTCAGGTCAAATGCATAGGTCAAACAAGTAGAACAGAGCAGTCAGACTAGCCGAGCATAAAAACCTAGCAGCAAAATCTAGGTTGGTTGACTCGAATAAGATAAGAAATCTAGAGAATAGTTCATCTATACCACTCACTACATGCAATTACACACAACCATACAGTATTCTGGATGGGATAAGATGACAGTTTTAAAATCTAACGTCATTGGGTGTAGGTAGGGAGAGATTGATAACAACAGAAGCTTTGTTTATCTAATCAACTGAGAGAGAATTCGTGTAAAATAGGAATGATTCAATACCTCTCCACCCAGATATCTGGAAAATTCTACTATCACGCCTACCACGACAAATAGGAGAAGACAAAGAAAACTCTAAAAGTCAAGTTTCGAAGTCGTGTGATTATAATTGATGGTGAAATGATTATGAACGGCAATAAATTTTGTTCGGAACTGTGTCATCTGGTAAATACTAATACTGTTTCACTCACTGTGTGGTGATGCATCTACTAGACAAACTAATATGGAATTACTTACTAACACCATAGTGGTCAAGTTTTATACATATATATTAGCCTTGAGTTCTAAGTTTGTCGTAATTTTTTGCTTTTTCACCATATAACTTTTCTTTGTATGATTCAATTCTGCCCCAATCAGAGTATTGCTATCCCCAAGCTAACGATAAATGAATACATCAAAATTATTTTTATCAGTCATAGGTTCGAAAATATTACCAAATAGTTTATTTCAGACTCAGAAACACAAACACGTTATGCAATAAAAATACCACAAGGTGCCATTTCTAACCCACTTCAGCCTTTCATTTTAATTCAGCCTCACTATCCATGGATCAGTTGTTAGCGTAGCTGCTATTTCTGAGAATATTACTTCAGTATAATCAGTAAAACTAGCTCTTACAACTTAGTATACAATCAGTAAGTTACAAGAGTAAGTCACGTAGCTATGCGTAAATAAATTAAAAAAGTAATTCATACCATTTTGACCTCTGTGTTTTGCAGAAATCGTGGAAAATACCCATTGGAACATTAGATTGAAAAGAACAAGAAGTTCAGGAAAGATGGCGATATTTTCGGCTATTTCATTCTCAAAAGCACCTGTACAGCCGCATTTATACAGATTAGTTTACATGGATACAATTGTTATTATTTGTTTAATTAATTCCACTTAGTAACGAAGGAGATAATTTTCAACTTAATATGAAAGTTTTTGTTTTGTTTTGTTCTCTTTGTGTGTAATTTTCTCTTTTTGTCTTCATTCAATTCATCCCAATTATTTTTCAGTTATAAAAACAGTTATTTTAAGTTTGTTTCCGTGCTCCTTCTGATCACAAATGTAATCCGTTTAGAATAACTATTTTACAGTTATATTCGACTCCTGTGTAATTGTTTTGCTTCTATGCCTCTTGTAATCTATCTATATTCACACCTCCTAACTTACATCTCAAGTTGAAAAATTTTGATTTCAATTTATTTCCATGCTCATTTTGTTCACACTTGTAATTCCTTCTATTCCTCAGTAACTTTTGTTTTTATCCCACTTGTAATCCGTATCAAGTTGAAAATAATTATCACTTTTTATTCACCTTTAAGATTATTTCTCCAGTTATCAAATATTAATTTTGCATATGCAACTGTTTTTTAATCCTATGCAATCTTGTCTCAGAGCCCCTTGTAATCTGTATATTCGTAACTTCAAACTTCCATATCAAGTTGGAAAATAATTATCTCCTTGGTTACTATGTGGAATTAAGCAAATGAATAATAGTTGTATCCGTGTAAACTAATCTATATAAATGCGATTGTACAGGTGCTTTTGAGAATGAAATCGCCAAAAAGATCGCTATTTTTGCTGAACTTCTTGTTCTTTTGCAGAAATATCACACTGAGAGACCACATCAGAATAGTTAATAAAGGTTGTCCATTGAAAATGGAAATAACTTTACCTACTAAATAAACTACTAGATTTAGTGCCTCCCAGGGTCTCAAGTATCGGATCAAGGCCCGACCGATAGCTGCTACCTTGACGTGGTGGTCGGGCTTGAACACCGTAATGACCCAACAAACTATACTGACTGGGGTTTATGTCGCTTAAGCTCCTACCATGCCAGAAGGGTTGTTTGGATAGCGGTTAGACAAAAAGCAGCTACCCAATCCATTGCTATGACTGAAACAAAATCACAAAATAACATGCCGGATCGGTCGGGGCCCAGATTAACAACGACCGCGCTCCCTGCTGCCGTATCACAGGGCAGAAGTGATAAATATGCTACTGAGACACACCAAATAAAAAAGAACAAACAAAAAACAGGCCGCGTGTGACCGGCCTCAAGTAGTTCTCCCCTGGGCTCTGCGCTCACGCAACACTCTGTCTGTTTCAGGTACCCGAAGAATTAATCAACTTCCACGGTGTGGGCAGTCGGGAAGTAACAACCGCCCAAACACTTCTAGAAGCACACGAAGCCTTCCTAAGCATCATTCTCCTTTACAGACGGATCGGATCAAGGCAGCATATTAACGACTGAACTATTCGTCAGGCTGGTATTTCGACAAAAACACCAAAGTGATAGAAGAAGCTAAAAGGTACAAAATGACAGACAATCTGATTTGCCTTTTTGTTCCTCACGTCGAGAACAAAAGATAAACCAGATTTTTTTTACTTACGCGTTTACCCACATATTTTTCAATAAGCATATCTATTGGACACTAGTCAACACATGGATAAATTGATCCATATTATGCTAAATCATCAACTGATTTAGCATAGTAGAGATCAACTAGACGTGAACGGCAGACTAGAGGGGTTTGAAAATTGGGGAAGTGTGCCTAGGCACAGGCATGACTGACACGTGTTAATAACTCCATCCTTACATATATTTTTTTCCTTCACGTTCCCAGTGGAACAGAGGGCTTTAAGTCAGTGGCCTGAAGTTTCTGCAACAGTGGTGTTTATTTTTACAGGATGGGGTTACTAGCCTCCTGGCCAACCTTACCTATTTACCAGCATCATTTCTGGCTTAGCGGGGTAAAGGAGTGCGTCGGTGGCCGGGAATCGAACCCCAGACCATTTGCATAGTAGGCGAACGTTCTAACCGCTGTACCACCGACGCACCCCTCCTTATATAATCGTTTTTAAGTAGTTACATAAAAAAATTCTTTAGGAAAACTATCCGCTACGTATATCAGCACCATTCACAAAAATTTAACCAAAACGTTTCGGGTATATAAATTTAGTACGTATTTCATAAAAAATAGGGAGGCTGTTAGTGAGCAAGCATTTATTAAATAGATTAAACTCAGAACACGTATAACGAGATATACCGAGTTCGTACCCAAGCTTACTACAATGCTGAATTAGATCTCACCAATTTTTAAGTAATTCCAACATTCTATTGTGAGTAAATTATGAATCTGTTCTGAAATGGATTCTTTGATGGCACAGACTAGAACTCACTGCTGGTGCTCAGCATGACTGGCACTAATTCAGCACCATGTTATTTTTTTAGGTATTTCCAGGAGTAGATCAGAACCTACTGGGTTTGCTTATCAGCGTTGTCCCAGCCCTCACAGGGCATATTAAGCACAGACTAGCGTCACTGCAGAACGAAAAGGCTTAATTCAGCAAACGACTTTTTTTTATAGACACAACCAGAGTTATTTCAGAACATAGCGGGTAGATAAGATCCTCATTTACCATAAAAAGGCAATATCGAAGAACAAGTTAGAATAAGTTTAGGAGTTTAGGATTGTTGTAAGCTTAGTTAATGTTTAAAAAAGTTTTCATTGTGAAGACGAAAAGATTGCCATCGAAGGATTAGTGTTATATATTAGAAACGTTTCTAAAACTATTTGTGCGTTTTAAAAAAGTTAACTGAACGACTAAGGGGACACAAACTTCATGAGACTTAAGAATTTCAAGAAAAAAACAGGTCCTCAAAACAAACAAAAAGACTGAAATATGCCGTTAATTTTGGTCACAACATTTATATTCGTTTCATAATTGTTGTTGGAATATTAGTTTTAAAGGTAAATTTTAGCCATACAGTAAGATTTTATCACATTACACTCACTACTTCCTTAGCGTTACACAGATGAGTAATATTTTGCAAATGACAGAAGAATTAAACGTGGTTTTCACATGCAGTAAGATGAATAGTTATTTTCCACCCTTATTAGCAATAACACTAATCATATTTTTAATAAAAATTCAAACATTCAGACAACTGACTTTCTCTGGTGGTAGGACAGCTCTAATAAATGCACGCCGCAAAGTGAAATACTATTTTACGACGAACATAAGAACTGGCTGTAAAAGTGTAGATATCCTGCTCGGGCAAAGTGAACAGACCAAAGTTTGCGAACAAATTTCCACAGTTGTAAAATAAATCTGAAGTTGCAAGCAATAGAAAATTAACTTCAGTTGCGAGTCGTTTCAGAATTCACATGAAAGTTTCATAATGTCTAGTGATTTTTATGGCTGTAAGACCAATAAACACAGTGAATTTAACTTCATAAAGCAATAAACCTTAGGTGGAAGTTCACCACAGTTTTATTTAGCACAAATTATTATACCTGCGCTTTCCAATCACCACCTTTAAAATGTTGAACAAGGTTGATACAATCATGTTTGGTATTGTTAAACAAAATCTCCCACTATGAAAACTGCTAACCAAAACACTCTAAAATCTGAGCATGGTTATAATTACTGAGCTAAACTATTACTTACAGCCATTAAAACTCTTCAGGCTGCTTAAATGTCATTCGTCCTTTGTTTCTAAATGATGACATTGTCAGAATCCAGTCTAAAATTGACGGTGGCAGAAAGCTGTACATGTTCAATTTTTTCGTGTATATAATTAAGTAGTTGACAGACTAGTGTGGTTAAATACATTGAGTTTTCATGGGATGATAGCTAGTGAGCCTTTTTTCTTAATTCCAGCAATGAAGTTCCACTCCAAACTCTTATCTCGTGCTGCAGACGAGACTATATGTTTGTCAGGTATAATCCCTGGGTCTTATTTTCGCTAGAACTCTATGATGGCCTACATGAAAACCAAGAGATGCGAAATTCTATTCTAGTTACGGCTTAAATACTAGGTGAAGTTTAAAGTCAAAGCTGAGCTGATATCTGTGTCCTTATTTTCGAAGAATTTAAATAGAAATTTTGAATAATACAGGTAGTCTAGTGACTTTTTATCACCGATCCACAACAACAACCACTCAGCGAAAAGTAAATTTATGGGTCGCATAGGTGGCGAAAAGTTTAGACATTTCGCCTCAAATAACTTTGACCCTAATACATAGCTCCACAGATTCAGACTTCAAGGATAGCTTTGTCATACTTAATGGCTTGTTTGGAAGCAGTCAAGAGTGTCCAGGAATTAAAAGTGAACTTAATGTTACCGTGCAAGGGACCAAAGAGGTTCGATTGGATCTCAGCCACCAGAGAGTCTGCAGATTGCTTGGTCGAAGCTCAGGTTTAGTGCCACACATCAATCATGAGCATTACTTCCAGTCGAAACCAACCGAAGACGAACTCGAAGTCGTTTAAGCAGCACAAGTAACTGGTTTCCTAGAATTAGTGGGACCGAAGGGATTTATGCTAACGGCTGCTTTCTGCTCTATATCATCACTTAACAATTGTCGCGTCACACTATCATGTTTCCTGCCACCAACTGCACAACAGCATCTATTCAGGTGATTTGGCGACAGTTGTCATCTGTGCTGCCAGAATGTCATACCTCATTGATGAAACTGTTTATGTGGATTTTAGGCGTGTGCTTTAATAACATGAGGTAATTTCTCGATCATGCTACTGATGGGACCCTTACATAATAATACCCTTATCTTTTATAGACACGCTAGAAGTCTTGTAGTCTCTAAATCCCACGGACTAAAACAATCAAAATTTAAATGGCCAAGCACATATGCCAATGGTATTTTTGGCAGCTTCGTCAATGCCACTGGTTACCTACCGCAGTAAACTTTCATGACAGGTTCAGCTTCTTCGTGAATGATTCGGGTCATGTACGAGTTGCACTTCTTGTACCGTCTCGCTAGTTAAACGGCGGTATAGTGACCTAATCATTCCATCTCATGAGTCTATAGCCTACCATCCAAATAAATCTGTTGCACACTAGCCAGCTTTCTCCGCCTACCCCAACAATGATTACCACAGCAAGAATCGATCAGAGAAATGAGTTAGGAGTCATTCTCCACATGGTTTCAACTCTTGCTCCAGAAACTAGCCTAAGCAAAGTGAAATTACGTAGTAAGTGCTCTAGGCTGAATTTTGCAGCATACCTATTCAACAGCAACCTAGGAGGTTGACTCGGAAGTTATTTAGACCACTTTATTGTCACACTGCTACCGCTGTGTATCAAAAAACACACATAAACTACTTTATAACTGCCAAAAATAACCTGTGTTAAGGGCTTTTGTCGCTTTTAATATACCAACATCCAGCCCTCAGCATTGCCGGTTCACCATTTCTTGTAGCTGCTCTACATGATATAACGTAAAATGAGTTTGGAGTGAATCTGTTGAGTTCACACCTCTGCCCTTTTTGATACACAACTAATATTTCCATAGAAAATTACTGACACTAAATGAATAGTATTCTGTCCTCTAAATATGAGTTAGCAGTTAAATTCCTGTCGGAAGTACTATTGTTGACATGCTATCTAATTTGCAATAAATTCTCCTTGTTTGAAGATATATCTATTTTTAGTTGATCATGGTCTCATCTCAAGGATTTTTCCACTCACTTTGATGTTACGAAATTATATCAGCCTGACTGATTTCTACTTTCATCAAACGCTGTGCTGATTGTCAGGTTTGTCATAATACTGGTACTGTTACTAAGAATAAACTTTTTCGCTTGGCCAGTCCCTGCTGAACTTCTGCTTTCTGTTTCAGTTTCCTGATACATAACGAATGTTACAACTTCCACGTAACCCCTTACGCGCAGCAGCTTCTTCCACTGGCTCAAATAAACGTTGGCAGATTCTCCTTGGGAATAGGCGAACCTCTTTGACCTCCTATGAATGCAGCACATAAAAATCTCAAACTTCAGCCTTCTTGTTAGCATGAAAGCAAATGTACTGTAACGAACGCCCTGAGGAAATTACCCATTACATGATGAGTTGATGTATGAATATCGCTCGTTGGTCGTGGCCAACTTGCAGACCACGCTGCTCTACCAATAAAGAGCCTCCCCCTTCTCCGCACACTTGGTTAAACAACGATGGGGATATTTTTCTGCGGAAGGCAGTTAGAGGCTGAATCATCAACTGCCGAGTTTTGCATGGTGAACTCATCGTAAAATCTTTTCGATCTCATGGTAAATTTTCTGTCTATACAACACAATTATTCGAAGAGAAAGTAGTTCGGTAATGGTGCATATGAGCAATGTCAATATTCTTCAATGTTGCTTACCTGAAACACTTCACTTTCCACGGATGATCTTCAGAAGAGATCTCACAAACATTTTTTCTTCGTGGCCATTGTCCTGACCCAAGATGCATTGTGCGCCATAGGTTATTTTTTGTGGAAACTTGGAAGAAATACCTGTAAAAATACCAGTCTTGAGGAATAAATAGTTGCTCATTCATAACAATATTTTGCCTTCCTTCTTAATGCCAGCGGATCCTTTCGGGAACTGGAAAATGACCGTTTTGCATACCATTGTCATCTTGGTGACTAAAATGATGAATAGGCCTCCATTCTTACAGAATTCTAGCCTGCATATACGAGAACACGAACACGTGGATAAATGTAGTACTGTGCAGTGCCTGTCCCCTAAAGAAACGAAGAGAGACAATTCTTCTGCGCTACAATTTAACACAAGTTCCGTGACGGAAAGCGACGTGTATGTGGAAACTAGGCAGTGGTAGCTGACTTCAGGAAGCTTGATATACATCGGGTTGAAACGTCTCCCTTGTGGTACGGTGGGCATAAAACGATGCAGCTTTAAATCACTGGAAACTACTATGAGTAACATAGGTTTTGCTACGTTACGTCCAGTTAACTAGCACCATAAGATTAGTAGACACATAAACGTTAGTCCCATATTCGTGCTGGATGTTAAACGATGAAGGGAAGGAAGTCTTCTTCTGCGAGCTCAGTTTCTTTATCCGTACAGTCGCATTCACATGCTATGTTTTCATCAAAAAGGATTGTAACAAAAGCGGCAAGTTGACATAATCACAGCTGCTAGTACTCATAAACGTATGAAGTAAGTAACCATGCTGGTCAGATATGAGGTCCTATTATGGCTATTTGACACCACACCTTGAGTATTTATGAAGTCCTTCAGGTGAGAATGAAGAGGAGATTCTGTGACCAACGCCCCAAAATTTCTGCTTGAGAAGGATAGCTGGTTCCACGTTTGCTTATTTTCTAATGTTACACCGAAAACTCTAGAGGAGGGGGGAATAAGCCGATAGAAGCGCATACTAGATGATGGCTAGCGGCTCTGCTGACTTGTTCGCAAATCTAAAGCTTAGCAGGGATCCAAACTACATCTAGCTGTAGACCATTCACCCCAACTACGGTCTTATTACTGGCCACTTACCGGTAGAAAACGATCAAGGTGAAGACCATTTTCGCTGTAGCTGTGATAAAATGTTTTTAATGACCACCTAAAATGGGATGCCGTCTGAATTGGCCTAAGCTACGACGAAGCTAACTACTTCCAAATGAGATGGTACTTGTTTGGGAGGCTTTAGGTTTGATTATCACTGAGAACTTCCCAACAGTAGAAACCAGTTAAAGTACTGATCCGTTAGCCGTGGAGCCAGTGAGGCTTTGAATAATACATCTTTCTTTGTAAGTTGGTTTTAACTGGGCTGCAGTAGCCTGAGGGAAAATGGCCTCGAACAGCCGGTGACTAGAAGAATAGAGCAGTGGTTGATGTTATATGCTGTGATCTTATATTTTCAAAGATTTGCATTATTCCAATTATCTAAATATATCTTTTAAAGGTTGTCGCATTATCTTTCTTTTGACAGATGCTAGAGTAGATTGGCCATTATTTGTGTGGGGCACAAGAAAGGAGTAAGTATATTTTCTGGCCAAGATGTAGTTCTCTAAGAGACCAGTTAACTACGTTGCCGGAAAAATCTTGGCTTTTTATAGTAAATCCTACCTAGAACTAACATTTTTGACCGTTGTAAACACCCTTCTTGCCACCCTATTCATTCACCAGTTCAGGCTCGGCATCGGACCTGGTCCTCACAATATATATATATATATGGCAGTTGCATCATGCCTTAGTCCTTCCACACAACCTTCACCATTCTCCGTCAGTGCAGGTGAAGAAATTTATCGTTGAAAACGGAACCGGTTTGATGAATTTCCTCGATCTTACTTAAGTCTTCATAGTATATGTAGCCCCATGGCATCCACGAACGTATTTTCTAACTCAAGTCAGCTAGTAAGTTTGCTCAGAAAATGGAAATGGTCTTCCTCCCATCTAGATGCGCGACGACATCTGACACAAAAGATTAGTTAAGCGGAAATGTACTCGAGGAGAGGAGATTAAGGTTACATTGTAACTGGATGGAAAAGATAGCGCCGATGAAACTTAATGCCAAGTCAGCTAATATTATAAAGGGAA